AAAAAGGAAAAGGAAAAAAAATACTTGATAACTTTATTATATATTTAAAATGAATAGCAAGTTGTACATAATTGATTTGCAGTTTCATGTTCACCTTTTTTTAGTATACTATGTTATGGAAATGCTTATTTTACTCCATTAATATAATTCCATTAATTAAAAATTAAATAAAACTTTTAAAAAAAGAAAAATCACTTTGGCAATATAATGGAGGGTGAATTTGTGTGGGAAGACAATTATGGCAAGAAGAGTATCCAGAAGGTTATTGAAATGGTTCCAGTGTGCAGTGATAAGGGTCTGCACTACCCTGATTTGTATAGTGGCTGAAAGGGAAACATATGAGAGATGTTGTGAAGTTAGAAACCACAAGACTTGCCAAAAGATATTATATGGAGGATGAGTGAGAGTGAAGAATTGAATGTGACACTCAGATTATAAGCCTGGGTGACTAAAAGAAGGGTTGTCATCTTTGTGGCATTAGGAAATTTGGAAAGAGGGGGACTGAGGTTAGTGTGAAAGATGAGTTGTTTTGGCTATGTCAGACTCAAGATACCTCCAGACATCAAGTTTGAGTTCTCTAAAAAGTGACTGGTGACACAGACTAGAGCTCAACAGAGACCAGGGCTAGAAGTACCATCTATGCATCACCTGCATCAAAATTTTCATGAAACCTGCAGGAGCTGATGAGTTTATTGAGTGAACTCATATAGAGGGAGAAGACAAGAGGGTCCACATGGATCCATGCAAGATGTCAACAGTTATAACTTCACTTTTCTGGGCCTCAATTTACTCATCTGTAAAATGAAAGTCTGTTAGCTATACGGCCTTTAGGTTCACTTTAGCTCTAACTCCTTTATGATGCAATGAAATAGGTGGTTTAAAATAGGCAGTTATTGTACCTATGTCTTTATCATATATGAGAAAAAAATGACAGGAGTAGCTAGAATGCCATATATTTTACTTTCTCAAAATGCAGCATTTTAGAACAAGATCTAAAAATCTCTTGTAGCCAACAGCCAGAGCTTATTTAAAAAGTTAAGGAAACAGCACTCCTGTATCTGATAGAGTATTTTCTAAAGTACTAAACATCCCTAGAACTTGATATTACTACTCTGCCCATGTTTATTTTATCAAAATACATAATATTTCAATTCCATTCCACTCAAAATGTTACCATCAAGCACATACTATTAGTAAGGTACTGGCTATACCAACAAACATAATAAAAATCAAACAATCCTTACCCTAAGAGAACTTATATTCTACTAGAAAAGGACCAAGCTACATTAATAAACACATAAAATGATGACATATTCTATTTCTTTTTGTTTTTAAAATGCAAATGTTGATTCCTTTGGTTTATTAGTTCATTGCTACCAAGTTGCATGCTCCGCATGATTTTGAGTATATCACCTCCTCTACCTTATTCCTCCAAAACTACATTCACTTTGGTAGATCACGTCTCCAAAAAGCAGCTGCTTCTTATTACCCAGAGTTCGAATGGTAATCCTGAGGGACTGTGTTCCTGGTAACAATGCTCCTGGTCCTTCACTGCTGTACTCGTTGTTAACCATCAACCAGTAGATATCAATTTGCTTTTAGAAAAGGGATCCACTAAGAAGATCTAGAAATGAGAACAATCAGTATAAAACACCATAATCTGAAAGGAAAAAAAAGTCTACTCTCCCACCAATACTCTCAGCCTCCATAGAGAGAGTAAGTTTTAAGTTTAAGCATGATAGTAGTAAAGAACATATGTAGATAACACTTAAGGTAAAGGGGTAGACCCTAGACACCCTTGAAATACTTTCTTAATATTTTCCTTTTGTAGAGTCTTCAACAAGTTTGCTCTGGGGCACAGAGGCAGCAATCAAGTCCTTCTGTGACTCAGCTGGGACTAACTGCGGCTGAGGCAAGCCACCCTACATGCTTCTTGGCCAGGTACCTTCTCTGTTGGCCTGGCTTGTTCCACTATGTCTCTCTGGTGACCATTGCTAGTCTTTCATTACAGCTCTGGGCTTTGGAGAGACCTTGGGCAGAAACTCTGAATTTCTTAAACTCATAAAGTCATCTAGGTATTTCCATCTCAGGAATAGTCATTAACCTAAGATGAGGAGATGATAAAAAAAAAGGAGACAAAAGCAACCTTGTGCTCCCAGCTAGTATGATGTGGTGGGAGACAGTAGCCCTCACCTCCCTCACAGGACTACCACAATATAGACCAGCCTAACAGCCTTAGAAAAAAGAGAATAATGAAGCTGTTGGTCACCATTAGTGTATACAAACCCATTTCTGGATCAGCAACCTAAACCACTGGTTCTTCCAATTCTGTGGTCAATTAGAAGGAAACAGCCCATCATGACAAAATACTAACCTCTTAGTCATGTGTGTGTCTCCTTTTTTTCCAACCACCAAAACTGGGACAGAAACTCAGCGACAAATAAATATGCATGTTTCAAGGACTAGCCCACACAGGCTATTCTACCCCCATTACATGAGTTATTCCATCCAATGCCCCTGGAGGTATTGATATGAAAAAAAGATGCAAATAATTAAATAATTTCACTTTTCATGAACCACAATCAATTATATAACCAGACTTGATTAATGGCCAGAATAGATGATGAACCACATCAAGCAATATTTGAAGTATTGAAGTGAAAGCTGACTAAAGGGATAGTAATTTCCTTGTAACTATTAACTAGATTCTGTTTACATCAAAAGAAATACATAGCATGTGTAGACATGCAGGTGATTTTATCAGTCCCACAAATGCACATCATAAATATTTATTATTTACAGTGTTGTGAATGCATTGAGAAGGTACTAAAGCTGAATTTCCACATTCAGCTAACCTATCATGAATAGTGGATAAGTTTCAGGTTCATTTGGTCTTTGATCTTTTTCAAAATTGTACAAGCCAGTTGTACTTTCTCTTGAGATTAAGCCTTCACATTTGGTCTTTACTTACCTGTCTATTTTTACTAATTTAAGAAGAAAAACAGATGTTCTTCAACATAGTACTATGTGAGAGCAGTCTGAATCAGTATTGTTATAAATTTTTCATGTCTCTAGTTTTGGTATTCAGTCTGTTTTTTTTTAAGACATAAAAAAGGAAATGAGTTTTTCAATGCAAAGAGAGAAAGATCATCACAGTCAAATTGTATTTTGAGATTATGTTCTATTCTTGATAATATTGCTAGGAAGAAGGATACATGTGCTCCCTTCAGGTCAAGAAGCTCAAAATCTTTAACTAGATGGATCCAAATAGACTCAAAGAAAGCATAAGTACCCAGGAATCCACATGGCGTATTCTCAAATCAAATCACAATGGTTATTTTGAAAGAGGTTGGATAGCATTACTTTGGAACCATTATAAATCTTTTAGAAATTCCATTAAAGGGGAAGCTAGGTGGCACAGGGGATAGAACACTGGCCCTGGATTCAGGAAGACCTGAGTTCAAATCCGGCCTCAGACACATAACACTTACTAGCTGTATGACCCTGAGCAAGTCCCTTAACCTCATTGCCTAACCAAAAAAAAAAAAATTCCATTAAAATCCCAATATGAAAATAAAAATTTAGGAAGTTTTTTTTTGCAAAAAAAAATGACTTTCAGGATATTATTTTCTTTGGAGAATGTAGAAATAAATTAATCAAAAACATATCACATGATATACAGTCCACTGTATCGATGACCTCATCAGTGTCAGTATTCCCTCAAATGTTCTACCAGTGAGACTAGACAAGAGCTGCTCAAATTACTTGGGACAAAGTAAAATAATTATATTTGTAGACAACCAATAAACCTTACAACTTTTTTACATGTAAAGAATATATATATATATATATATATAATATGTATATGTATATGTATATATGGTAGTAATGATTAATAATAATAACTGATGTTTACATAGTGTTTACTGTGTGCCAGGCATAGTGCTTATCACTTTACAGTTATTGACTTACTTGATCCTCACAACAACCCTGCGAGTTAGGTATTATAATTATCCTCATTTTACAGATGAGTAAACTGAGGCAAACAGAATTTAAGTGACACTCCCAGGGTCACAAGTTTAGTGTGGAATTTGAACTCAAGTCCTCCTGACTCCAGGCCCAGCACCCTATCCATTGCTCCTTAAATATATGATTTGGCATTAAGATCAAAATATTTTGAAACATCTTGGATTTTTATCTCATTGGATAAGTCTGCCTTTACCAGATAATCAATTTTTCAAAGTCTAGCTTTGATTATAGCACATCATTTCTCAGTAGGGTTTGAATAATTTGAGTTCACAGGACATGCATGTAAATTTATCTCTGTCTCATCTAAATTTCTCAACCTTGTGTGATGTTTGGCATTATTTAAGGTGGTATTGCACTATTCTGTCTCCATTTGGAAACTTTTTTGTTAGCTTACAGTGCTTTTTTCTCAGCATATTAATACACTGAATTGTTCCAAAAATCATAGTGCAATTTTAAGCTTTACTAGCTTAAATAAAAAACTCTAATAGTTTTAATAGCTTTTTATCAGAGATCATAATTTCTTCAATGTCACAAAACTTTTAAGTTCATTTTTATTTTTGATAGTGTATGTTTTACACTCTAATGAAAATGCTTAGACCCCATAGGCTTCTTCTGACAATAATTTTGGTATAGTCTTGAATGAAAAACTGAGTCTCATCAGGAAAAATTAACTTCTTCCCAGTGTTCAATATTCCTTTGTGTTGTCTTTCCATGACAAGTATTTTTCTCAATGGGAATGGTTTGTAGCTTTAAAAAATATTTCAGAGGCAGAGCCAAGATGGTGGAGAGAGAAGTCAGGAAGTTACCAGAGCTCTCAACAGTTTCCTTCAGAAACAACATTAAATGAAACCTTTAAAAGAATTCTGAAGTGACAGGATCCACAAAAAGTCAGAGTGAAACAATTTTACAGCCCAAGAGAACTTAGAAGGACTTTTGGAAAGGTCTGTCTCACTTGGGTTAAAGAGGAGCAGAGCCCAGATCAGTGCACAAACTTCCAGTCCCCAAACCCAGGGCACAACAGGCATGAGTAGGCCAGGCCAACCCAACACAGTGGGCAAGCCACCAGAAGCTCAGGCCCCACAGCAGAAAGCAAGTGACCAGGCCCCTGGTCCCCCGAACAAGAAGCTTGAAACAGTGCCTTCTGTGCTTCAGCAGCAGAGCTCAACTTTTTAAAATGAGCATAAACCATAAGAGAGCAATAACCATAGAAAGCTACTATAGTGACAGGGAAGATCAAAAAACAAACACAGAAGAGGACAACAATATCATACATGTCTCAAAGGGGATTATGAATTGGTTTAAAGCCCAAAATGCTTTCTATGAAGAGCTCAAAAAGGATTTAAAAAATCAAATAAGAAATGTAGAAGAAAATTTAGGAAAATAAATGAGATGTATGCAAGAGGGAGTCAACAAATTGGACAAAGGAAGGACAAAAATTTACCAACGAAAACAATTCCTTGAAAAACACAATTGGACAAATGTGAAAAAAAAATCCACTGAAGAAAATAACTCCTTAAAAAGTAGAATTGTCCAAATGGAAAAGGAGGTACAAAAATTAACTGAGGAAAATAATTCCTCCAAAATTAGAATTAAGAGGGACAGTTAGGTGGTGCAGTGGATACAGCACCCATCCTGGATTCAGGAGTACTTGAGTTCAAATCTGGCCTCAAACACATAACACTTACTAGCTGTGTGATCCTGGGCAAATCACTTAACCCCATTGCCTAACCAAAAAAAAAAAATAGAATTGGGTAAATAGAAGCTAATGACTCCATGAGACAACAAGAATCAGTCAAACAAAATAAAAAAAATAGAATGAAAAAATAGAAGAAAATGTAAAATACCTCATTGGAAAAACAACTGACCTGGAAAACAGATTTAGGAGAGAGAATTTAAAAATTATTGGACTATCTGAAAGCCATGATAAAAAAAAATCTGGACAGCATCTTTCAAGAAATTATCAAGAAAAACTGTCCTGATATCCTAGAACTAGAGGGTAAAAGTCACTGAAAGAATCCAGTGATCAACTCCTGAAAGAGATCCCAAAATGAAAACTCCAAGGAATATTGTAGCCAAATTCTAGAATTATCATATCAATGGGAAAATATGGCAAGCAGCCAGAAAGAAACAATTCAAATGTCATGGAGCCTCAGTCAGGATTGCACACAATTTAGCAGCTTTTACATTAAAGGATCAGAGGGCTTGGAATATGATATTCTGGAAGGCAAAGAAGTTGGGATTATAACCAAGAATCAACTACCCAGCAAATTGAGCATGATCACTCAGGGCAAAAGATGGATATTCAATGAAATAGGGGACTTTCATACCTTTCTGATGAAAAGAACAGAGCTGAACAGAAAATTCAAACTTCAAATACAAGACCCAAGAGAAGCATAAAAAGGTAAATGGGAAAGGAAAAAAAATGTTATTCAATAAGGTTAAACTGTTTACATATTTTTTTAAACTTTTACATCTTTATATATGAAGATGATACTTGTAACTCTTGAGAACCCTGTCTCTATCAGGCAGTTAGAAGGAGTATACATAGGCAGGAGGGTATGGCTGATTTTGATGTGATGATATAAAAAAAATCAAGAGGTAAAAAAAATGATTGTAGTGGGAGGAGAGGAAAGGGGGAGCCAGAATGAAGTAAATTACATCCCATGAAGAGGTGCAAAAAGACCTTTTGGAGGAAACAAAAGGATGAGGGTGAGCATTGTTTGAACCTTACTCTAATTGGATTTGGTTCAAAGAGGGAATAACATACATACTCAGTTGGGTAGAGACATTTATCTTACTCTATAGGGAAGTAAGTGGGGAAAGAAGAAAGAAAAGGGAGAGGGGACTAATAGAAGGGAGAGCAGATTGAAGGAGATGGTGGTCAGAAGCAAAAGAGTGGTGAGGAAGGACAGGATGAAAGGAGAGAGAAAAATATAAACAGAAGGGAAAATAGGATGGAGGGAAATACACAGTTAGTAATCATAACTGTGAATGTCAATGAGATGAACTCTCCCATAACATGGAAGTGGGTAGCAGAGTAGATTAAAAACCAGAATCCTACAATATGTTGTTTACAAGAAACACATTTGAAGCAGAGAGATACACACAGAGCAAAGGTAAAAGGCTGGAGCAGAATATATTATGCTTCAGCTGACATAAAAAAAAAAAACCAGATGTAGCAATCCTGATCTCAGACAAAGCAAAAGTAACAATAGATCTAATTAAAAGAGATAAGGAAGGAAACTACATCTTGCTAAAAGATATGATAGATGGTGACATATTATCAGTACTAAACACACATGGATCAAGAGGTATAGCATCTAAATTTTTAGAGAAGTTAAGTGAGTTACAAAAGAACTTGACAGCAAAATGATGCTAGTGGGGAACCTTAACCTTCCCTCTCAGAACTAGATAAATCTAACCACAAATAAACAAGAAAGAGGTTAAGGAGGTGAATAGAATTATAGAAAAGTTATATATGATAGACCTCCAGAGAAAACTGAATGGGGATAGAAAGGAATATACCTTTCTGTCACTGGTACATGTTGCCTACCCAAAAACTGACCATGTGTTAGGACATAACAACCTCACAATCAAATGTAAAAAATAAGAAATACTAAATGAATCCTTTTCAGATCATGATGCACTAAAATTATGTATAATAAAGAGTCATGGAAAGATAGATTAAAAATTAATTGGAAACTAAATAATCTGATCCTAAAGAATGAGTGGATCAAAAGACAAATCATAGAAACAATCAATAATTTCATCAAAGAGAATGACAATAATGATACAACATACCAAAATTTATGTGATGCGCCAAAAGCAGTACTTAAAGGAGATTTTATATCTCTAAATGCTTACATGAATAAAATAGAGGAAGAGGAGATCAATGAATTGGGCATGCAACTAAAAAAGTTAGAAAAGAAACAAATTTAAAATTCCCAATTAAATACCAAGTTTGAAATTCTGGAAATCAAAGGAGAGATTAATAAAATTAAAAGTAAGAAAGCTATTGAACTAATAAATAAAACTAAGATGTTTTTATGGAAACAAAACAGTAAAATAGATAAATCTTCAGTTAATTTGATTAAAAGAAGAAGAAAACCAAATTACTAGTATCAGAAATGAAAAGGGTGAATTCGCCACCAATGAAGAGGAACTGAAAGCAATAATTAAGAGCTATTTTGCCCAATTCTATGCCAATAAAAATGATAATCTAAGTGAAATGGATGAATATTTACAAAAACATAAGTTGCCCAGATTAATAGAAGAGGAAATAAAATATTTAAATAATCCCATTTTAGTAAAAGAAATTGAACAAACCATTAATGAACTCCCTAAGGAAAAATCTCCAGGGCCAGATGGATTCTACCAAATTGGTAAATTCTACCAAAATAGTGAGTTCTACCAAACATTTAAAGAACAATTAATTCCAGTTCTATACCAAATCTTTGGAAAAATAGGTGAAGAAGTTCTACCAAATTCCTTTTATGATACAAATAAGGTGTTGATACCTAGACCAGGAAAGACCAAAACAAAGAAAGTAAATTATGGACCAATTTCCCTAATAAATATTGATGCAAAAATTTTCAATAAAATATTAGCAAAGAGATTGCAGCAATTTATCACAAGGAGAATACACTATGAAAATGTGGGGCTGGTTCAATATTAGGAAAACTATCAACATAATTGACCCTATCAATAACAAAACTAATAGAAATTATCTCGATAGATGCAGAAAAGGCTTCTGACAAAATACAGCACCCATTCCTATTAAAAGCACTAGAGAACATAAGAATATATGGAGCTAAAATGACAAGTAATATCTACCTAAAAACAACAGCAAGCATTATCTGTAATGGGGACAAGCTAGAAGCTTTTCCATTAGGATCAGGAGTAAAACAAGAATGCCTATTATCACTGCTATTATTCAATATTGTACTAGTGATGGGAGTAAATCAAAAGAATTAGAACATATAATGAAGAAACAAAGCTATCACTCTTTGCAGAAGATATAATAGTATACATGGAGAATCCTAGAGAATCAACTAAAAAACTCCTTGAAATAATATACAACTTTAACAAAGTTTCAGGGTATAAAATAAACCCACATAAATCATTGGCATTTTTTTATTTTTTAATTAATTTATTTCGATTTATCAATAATCACTTCCATATGCTTTTGAGTTTAAAATTGTTCTCCCCCTTCCTCCTCACCACCCTCTCCAAGATGGCACATAATCTGATATAGGCTATACATTTACATTCACATTAAACATATTTTCACATTAGTGATGTTGTAAGTAGAAATTAAAACCAATAGGAGGAACCATCAGAAAGAGGAGACAAAACTCAACAGAAGAGAAAAAAATTAGCAATTTGGCTTCCATAGTTCTTTCTTTGGGTGTGGATAGCATTTTCCATCACAAGGCCTCCAGAGATGTCTTAGATCTTTGTATTGCCTGGAAGGGTTAAGTTTATCAATATTAGTCATCACACAACATGGCTGTTATTGTGTACAAAGTTCTCTTGGTTCTGCTCACTTCACTCAGCATCAGACAATACAAGTCTTTCCATGTTTTCTGAAGTCAGCCTGTTCATCATTTCATATAGCAAAATAGTATTCCATCACATTCATATACCACAACTTGCCCAGCCATTCCCCAATCGATGGGCATCCTCTCAATTTCCAATTCTTTGCCACCACAAAAAAAGCTGCTATGAATATTTTTGTACATGTAGGTCCTTTTTCCATTTGTATGGTCTCTTTGGGATACAGCCCTAGAAGTGCTATTGCTGGGTCAAAGGGTATGCCCATTTTTATAGCCCTTTGGGCATAGTTCCAAATTGCTCTCCAAAATGGCTGGATCATTTCACAACTCCACCAACAATGCATTAGTGTTCCAATTTTACCACATCCTCTCCAACATTTATCATTTTCCTGTTTTGTCATGTTGGCCATTCTGATAGGTGTGATGTGGTACCTCAGAGTTATTTTGATTTGCATTTCTCTAATCAATTGTGATTTAGAGCATTTTTTCATATGACTATAGATGGCTTTAATTTCTTCATCTGAGAACTGTCTGTTCATATCTTTTGACCACTTATCAACTGGGAAATGGCTTGTATTCCTATAAATTTGACTTAATTCCCTAT